ATATATATATATATATATATATATAACTGAGTAATTGTCATGCATTTTATATTATTGTGAACCATGCTAGTTACATAAAGTGACTGTAGAGAAACTACGAAATGACGATATCATCTCGCAAAATTTATCTTCGAAATGGATTTTGTAAATATGATAACAAGTTACAAAAGCATCACTTAAACCTAAGGTAATAGAAATCATAAGAAGAAAGGTCATGAAGTCGTAAAAGGTTATAAATGAACGTTTGTCAACGAAACAAAGGAAAAGAAAAAATTATGATAGGAATTTCATGTGCTAATGTTTATGGAGGATTTGTTGGCCTTCTTCTAGGCCAAGAAAAACATGGAGGTTGGACATACTTTTTTTGTAGACAAAGAGCCGGTCTTCTGGTATTGATTGTTACCGTCTCAGCTACTGATAGAATACGTAGTCGAGCTCCTTTAGATAGATAACCAGGAACGCCGTAAATAACTGAGAACGCCTGCTTAGGTTTTATCGAGTGTCCAGTATCTACCAATTGGGCTCAGGCTTGTCACTATTTACGCATTTGGTTACTCCTTTAGTCAACCATACAGGTACATGTTCACGCGCGCGCATGCATAAAGCCTTCTGAGTACGGCCAATGTAACTAGCTCCACATGAACAGTTGAATTTATAGATACACATTGATGAGGCCATCTTTGTTAATTTATCCTTTACTTGCTGTGTGAGTACTGGTTTAGTTGAGAAGTTGAGTACCAGTTTAGCTGCAGGAGATGTTCTATCTACTGCTCTATTAAGTCGACATTTTAGAATGTCAGCTGCAACTTCCCCTTTGTAACTTAACTTAAGATACAAAGGTTTCTTTTCTACGGTATCCACCTTTACCTTGTCTGTAGGTATTGACATATACTTTTTTAGGAAGCTCTGTGGAAATCCATTTTCTTGCAGTGTGAGATTCAGTTTATGCATTTCTTCCTTAATGCATTCCTCTGAACATATACGTTTTATTCTATAGCTTAGATACTTAACTAAGTTTCTTCTGTACTGAATCGGTGCGAAGCTATGGAAATGGGCGTACTGACCCTTCCAAGTTTTCTTTCTAAATAGTTTCCTTTGTAGATATCCGTCTGTCTTTATGGTAAGGAGGACGTCTAGGAAAGGTATACAGTTATTTTCTTCTTCCTCATATGTAAACTGAATAGCTGGGTGAACACTATTAACAGTATTCAGAAGCTCTTATTCATTAAGATTCCTATCACAAACGATGAAGGTATCATCTACATATTGACAATAATAGTCAAGCCCCTTAATCGTGTCTTTGAGTGGACCATTTTTAAGCTTTGCCAGGAAATTATCCGCTAGCATAGTGGTGACGCCATGGCAACACCATCAACTTGTCTATAAAAGTCATTGTTGAACATAAGCTGAACACTTGTAGTACATTTCAATAGTAATTCCTTGACCTTTCCCGATGGGATTCCTACATCTATCTCTCGTTCTGTCAGTTGATCACATAAGTGGTTGACTGTTTCGAGCAATGGGATGTTGGTGAATAATGATGCTACATCCAGTGAGATCATTTTCTTTCCCTTTACATTCAGGCTTTTGGTAGTTTCTACAAAGCTAAATATGTCTCTAACACTGAATTTCACTAGTTCACGATGTAAAGGTTCCAATGCCTTTACCAACCATTTAGCTGTAGAATGATAGGAAGATTAACAAATACTTATGATGGGACGTAGTGATACTCCGGGCTTGTGGACTTTCACAGTGGATCATAAAGTCTTGGTGTGAGCGTATCCTAGGGGGTTTCAATTCGTCGAGTGTACCGAAATGTTGCTTGAAATGCCTAGGACTTTAACTGACCTTAAAAAAAAAAACAGCATTAGTGTTGAATGATCGGAGAGCCCAAGAGATAACTCTTTTGGAGGCCTGTCACACACGGCCCGTTTGAGACCATTCTCGCAGTTATGTCCGCATGAAAACCTTACCGACGCATGGTGAGATGTACAATTTTCAGGGTCGACCCTTTCTACCACCCCTGGTCTCCAGAGTGGAAAGGTGGATTAGCTGATTTCCTGAGGGGAACACTTTACTGCTGTTTTATCCTTATTGGCCAGCAGTACAACTTCACCCTCAGAACGCCAATATAACGTAAACGACCTACACTACAAATAACTAATTGATTTTAGTCTAACGGCCTTTCTGGTATAGCGGACCGCTCAGAAACAGTAATTCCAGCCAGTGTAGCTCGTTGGGATATGCAAACCCGACCACTAAGTCAAGGTAGCAGCTATCTATCGGGAACAGGCTGAAAAGTAGTGTACAATTCCTAGGTGAACACCCTCCCCACACGTATAGACGCCTCAATCAAAAACTAAATAATGTGATAACATAGGAATCGACGCATAAAAGCATTGTACACAACTGTATAGCCTGAATAGTTATTCTAGCAATACAATTAACCACTAGTGTTAACACTGTTATATAAAAGTTTCTTTGTGAGAATAACCATTTCAAGTCAACCAAATAGTAGCTTGTTAACTCCAAGACATTGTCGAAGTCTCCGTACTAGGGGGTGACATATCACAACTGACAGGAATCGCTTTAAATCAGTAATCATCGTATCACACATCATGTGATTTATTATCGTGTGATCAGACGACTATAAAATTTCATCATCTGTTTCTTACCTTGGTCTTTGGTCAATTTACCAACCAACCAATCAGAATATTTATTTTCCGCCGACCTAGCCGAATCGCCTACCAATCAGAACAGTCTATTCCCACTGTGTCCTGGGCCGATTTTAATGTGGTTAAAAAATAAATATAAATATGACGTGCATTTCCTAATTAAAATGGATATCTTAACAGTCACAGACCAGGCCGCAAACGGTACCACGGTCTAGCATATTAGCAGTTGTAAACGAGATCATATCATATTCCGCGACAGGTTTATAACAAATTGGTTATTTTAGTGTCGACATAACACATCAACACAGACCGAATATTTCAGCCCCATAAGATCGATCAAAGGGGAAATACAAAAAATAATAATCTCAACACACATAACACATATAATACTTCTTGCACAAGAGATGGCTCAATACATAAAAGTTTGGTGCTTGAAGCGATAAATGCCCACCGTGAAGATGCAGGTAAGTCCTGCTTAGGATTCCAAAATAGAACGAAAAGTGAATCCGGGATTGCATGACTAGCTGACATCAACGAATCATTATCATTTTAAACATTAGTAGGCTGTTTCATATACACTAAATATACCTCGACCAATAGCTGCTTCCTTGACGTGGTAGTCGGGTTTGCATATCTGAATGATCCAACGAGCTACACGGACTTGAGGTAATGTTCCTGGAATTCGTATCATACCACAAAGGTTATCTAGATGGCAGTTAGACGAAAGGCAGTTAGCATCATAGTGTTGGCCGTCTACACTATTTGGGAGTCTGTGCACGAAGTCGTACTTTTGGCAAATAAGGATGTAACAGTAGTGCCCAGCATGTTAGATATGTGCTGCCACTCTGCTCAAGAGACGGTGGGGGGGGGGTTAGAAAAAGGATCGACCCTGAAAATCGCACATCCCCACTTACTTTTGCGGTGGCAAAATCTTAATACTGATTACATCGAAACCAACAACCTAGAAGTTCCTCTCCCAATAAACTACCTGAAGGAACTTCTTCTCAGATGTACGTTCAATATACAGTTCAAATTCAATGAAAAGTTCTACGTACAGAAAGATGGAGTAGCTATGGGGTCTCCTCTCGGTCCACTCCTAGCCGACTGCTTCATGGCGAGTCTAGAAAACAACATCCTCAATCCCTTGATAAGTCAACTGCACTTATACAAGAGATACGTAGACGACACGTTTATAATCTGTGATGAAAATTGTGATTTAGATGGAGTGGCCCCGCTTGGTTGGCCAGAGGAGAAAAGAAGAATAGCAACAGCTCGATCCTCGAACACCTTGTCATCTCTGGACATCGAGCACCCCCACATGAATGCTTCACAGTGTTACACAGGGTCCCTCAATATCGTACAAAGGGACTTCGGATTCGCCATCTGTACATAGCTGAAGCATTAGCTATTCGAGATCTAAAACCGGACCTCTGCATACAAAAGCGATACATACATTCTCTAGCCTTACCATGGCCAGAGTAAAGTTCTTGTCACAATTTTGCTTCCTTCCTTTATTATGTAAGTTCACTATTATTACCATTATTATTTTATTTTATTAATATTTTTATCATTTTGTCCCCATCATCCACATTTTATTACCACTCTATTACTGTTTATTAATAACATTGTTTTTCATACATATTTTATACAAAAACACTTTATAGCCTTTCCACTAGTTCCTGTCCATTTTACACGAGATTATTGATTATTCACTATCTCACACTTATTACGTCATGCCAACTTCTGTCTCCTTTCTAACTTACAATTAGTCATCCCTTCTTACACCTTACATTATATAATACAATTTTCCAAGGACAAAATTTACCAGTATCTGATTGGTCTAAAGATTTCTTTGTTAATTATAATTACGATTGTACAGCTCATGAAAATGAATCGTCGAAAAGAAAATTTTCTTCGCTGTTTGTGCCTCTTTCTTATGACTCCAAAAAAACCCACTTTAAACAGACCGTGTATGACCGCGACCTCAAGCAGTTGTCCTCCGGGCTGTGTGGTCACACAACACTAATGCTCGTTCTGTTTTGGGGGTAGCCACACACTAAATATATATCACTATTCAAGCATTAATGTTAAAGTTAAGCCATTAAAGTTGGCCTCTATAACAGTCTACTATGTAGTCCCTGACAAGGTTAAAAAGAACATTGTTATTACATTAACGAACGTTAAATATGTATTTTGTCATGAGCAACATAAAGGCACACACACGCACACGTACACAAATGTATAGAAAAGCAAGGTAACACCTGTACATTTTGAAAACAACAACAACAATATTATTATTATTATTATCATTATCACAGTATAGATTTAATTTGTCTTATCCTTTTGCATTTTTCGTCCCGACGATTGATCACGCCTACTGTTGCTGCTGCTGCTGCTACTAGCCCCTTGACTAGTGGTGATTGGTGCATTCCAATAGTAGAATAGCTGTCCCACTAGTATGTAGTTACATACAGTGGCTAAAATACACGATACAACTAACAGTCTGTCTCCAGTCTCTTGAATCGATGTGAATACACGTGCAGTTGAGCCTAGGGCAAACAAACACAGTGTGATGGCTGACAGCTGGCCTGTACTACCATTACACCAATTTGTCCAGATTTGTGCAATCTATAAAGAAAGCAAAAATACATAAATAAACAAGTAAAATCACGACATACAGCTGTGCGCGTATATACAATGGGCAACTCCAGTGACTGGTCCCAAGTAGGACGAAGCGCGCATCCTAGATTCCACTGCTAGTCACCATTCACCAAATTATGTCACTTAAATGCTAATATTCTGAAATAATGGGGAAGATTTGTAGCTCAGGAAGGTACTTTTGATGTAGATTAAAAATCTCCATGGTGTGTGTACCTCGCATTGGTCTGGAACACTCGACTTCCAACCAATGCACTCTCAACCTACTGAGATTTGGACAGCTCACTATTTGTTGCCATGGAGAACAGAGTACATCCGAAGTTAGCAATCTACCTTTCTTCTAAAAACGCCAGTTACTGTTTTAGCGGATAGTTTCTTGATGACTACTGCTTCAGGACATTCAGTAAAATGATCAACACAAGTGAAGGTATAAGTATAACTATGGGAATCTGAAAGGAGTCTAACCAGACCTATATGAATGTGATCGAAAGCTTTACTGGTCTTAACAAAATTTAGTGATTCCACATACTTCAGAACAACAGTCTACCATCTTCAAATAAAATGAATGGTGGGATGCTTCCACTGATGCTTTAAGGCTGGACCATCAGCTTCAATCAACGAAGTGAGCCACTGACCTATCCTTTCCGATATCAGGAACACGTTGAAAGTTGGTTCTGGATATACTCCTGCAAGAATCGTATACGGAGCAAGACCAAGGTTAGCAGGCAAGTTATTTCTACCCCGTATTTTTTCCCACATATCGACCAAACATCATATGACGTTAGACTTATAAACACGTTGCATTCAGTTAAGCTTGTTTGCATCTGACTGCAGCCCACCCATTTTTTTTACATTCGTTCATGTTTAAAAGCGCCTTCATTGACGCTTTCATACGTTACCACGCTACACATACCATCCACTGGGGGTGCAATACGATTCATCGTACAGAATTATAAGACGTACAGACAAATTCTAAGCTCAAGATTAAAATGGACACAAAGAGTACATCATTATAGACCGTTTGAAATCAGCATATATGGAAGGTAACCCCATAAACACAAACCTCATCGTTTCACATAACACCCAACCCAAAGAATTTGCATTAGTATCAAATAAAATCAACACTGCTTCAGAAACAGAAGATTCAGTTGAGACACAGTAAGAGACGTGTGTCAGTCAAACCATCAGATTCTCAGAACATCTAACACACATTACAGGCCAATGAAAAATGTGCCTTGGTGTTATCTTTTTTGGGTTGAAAACACATTTACACATCGTTATCTGCACTTTTCCTCCATATCGCATTTTGTAAGATACATCTGTGATTTTCAAATCGATGTTCCCTGATTTTGTGTGTGTGTGTGCTATGCTGTGCTTATCTACACAGAGTCAACCACCAATTTTGGTAATATTCTAAGCTTTCCTGTTTACTCTTCCAGGTAAAATGAAAACAGGGCAAGAAAAGGACGACTGACTGCTTTCATCGTAGAACTCTGCAGAGATGTGAAGCAGTACTTCGAGTTGCCACACTCCATGTAGCACACAAGGCAAGAGAAGAGGGTAAAGACAGACTCGAAAGACAGATAACAGATAGAAATATGAGGCAAAAAAAAACAGTAATATGGAAAAACAATAGTTTCATTGGATATGACAAAACACAAAAAGTGAATGCATTTGCGCCGTCATTGAGAGCGATTTTGAGCCATATCACCAACTCTCTCCACCCGTCATTGGTTTTTACTATCCCGAGGACCCCGACCAGTTAGGAAGTCTACACCTCCCTACGCGACTGGCTGGCTTAAACTAACTGTTGTGGATTTCATTGACTGATGAAGTCATGTTCTGGTTTGACCACCACGTGCTACTTCCTTTCCAACCTGATCCATTCTATGTCCGTCATCTAACATTGCCTGTCTATCGAGGAAGGCAGTAGCTAGGCATGCGTAACACATGCCCTAACCATCTCAATCGGTGTAACTACACACAACCTCATCGATTGATTTCCTCTCCTTACCTAGCACTCGACCGATGCCTAACCTCAATATTGGATGAAGTACGAGAAATTTAAGACTAGCATCTTTCGAAACTATGTACGTTAACTCCTTTAGAATAAATAGCCAGATGTCGAGATGGCCACTGATGACCAAAGCGTTTATCCGAAGAGCTCTAAAATGGATTCAGGACTTCACTGCTGTGCGTATGTGCTACTGCTACAAACAAACATTTCTTCCACTTTGTAACAACAAGTTTAATCATTATTTCTCAACACTAATGTCGAATGAGTGCTTCTACATGGTTCAGAGACTTAACGCGTTACCAAAAGCATTTCCAACAAACTACAGACTCTTATCAACTGCAATCACCTGGTACTTGAGATTATATAACAGGCTAGGAATGATAAGCAACAAGAGACTCTGACAACGAGCCAACCAAGATCATATTGCTCGACAAATATACAGGAGGAAATGGAGATGGATTAGACATAATCAGAGCAGACTGTTGAGTGAAATCACGCGCTACGCTCTTGAGTGGAACCCAAGTGAGAAACAACGAGTTGAACGTTTTCCTGAGGGAAATATGGAGGAGATCGTGTGAAGGGGAAATGGAAACTTATGCGCAATCGTGGAGTCAGATAAAGAAAAGGTCAGAGAGAGAGAGAGAACAGAGTGAAATGGCGGTAGGATGCAAAAGCCCTGTTTCACTCGGAACTCACAGTATTACTACATAATAACTATAACATATATAATCATCATTGTACCACAAAGTTTTTGAACAACAAATGACAACATCACTGAATTACACAAATAATAACTTTTCTTTACACCTAACATTTTACTAACCTTCGATGACAGCATTATCGGTAGATTGGCTGTGTGAAATAATACTAAAGTTGACATTGGTAATGCTGGTGACAGTAAGACAGCTAATCCTGCCATGTAAATACATGAAAATACAACAGCTTTAAGCCGTGAATGTGTCCATGTAATTGCCATAACCGCCAGCAAGAAATTTTGTATGCCCAGAAATATTCCTTCGCCATAAGAGCTAAGCGTACATAAAACCAAGCGAATAAGTAGTATAAATAAACAAGTAATTAAAGAAGCAAGGTAGAAATACCCTGTGTTAAATAAAGCGCAAGCACAACTCATTCACTATTTTTACAAGTTTGTACGCGAGACTGTAAACTAAATCTCTCCACAGCATGACTGAATGATCATATAGGTCACACATAGGTGGTGGGTTTTACCTTTTTACCGGGATACATTCTCGTCGATTAAGTATACGCAGATGTCCTTATGGGTGAAATAGTGGGAAAATTCAGAGTCTTCTGAACATCTTGAACGCGCGATTCGCTCCTTTCAGTTATAAGATGATGCTGTAAGAATGGCGGCCTGCGCTGACTCCCAGTTTAAGGGAAAGTGAGTGAAATAGTTGGGCATACTGACAAATCCACTTGTTTGGAAAACTGCATCAGCTCCAATGGACTGATCGCTGACGAGAACTCAGAACGAATACAAAAGACATGTGTGGCATTTGCTGACTTACATCATCACTAGTGTAGACTTGGCTTCTGGCTGTTGATCAAAGGACGTGTGTACTGAGCAGCAGTTCACTCTGTCCCACTTTATGGTTGTGCGGTCACGTAACACTAATGCTCCTTCTGTTTCATGTACCTAAATAAGAAATCATTATTCATGCCATGGGCGGTCTGTAAGTAACTATCGCTCACACGCTTCCAAAACCACACAGAGCTCTTCGGATCATCACCTACTTTCATCAACGTCACTATTAGAAGCAATATTCTTGAGTGTCACGATGAGCATGTAATAGATAAATGTATTTTTTATAGTTGGTTTGTAAGGACTAGTTTTGTTTTTTTACGAGTTGATCACCGATTGATATCAGTTACAGAACCATTGAAAACCAGGGAGTACTGGACAGCTGTTTCATCAGCCTTGTTTGGGAATCATTGGCAGTACGCACCCACCACGAGGGGGTTCGAACTCAGGACCTTCCGGTTCCAAGGCAAGCTCGTATACCATTCGGCCACTGAGACCCGAATCAATGGCTCATGAATCCGTGATTTAGCGCGACCCCAACCAATGTCGTCGGTGGTACATCCATCCTCACACTTGACTGTTTGGACCTCACTGGTCACGACTTCTCACTAGAACTCTAAGAAACTCCATTCTGTAGCGAGTCACTAGCGAGCATCAGATTAATATTCCATAGTTGGTTTGTAAGGAAAAATAATAAGCTAGGTGAATAAATTATCGGAAGATCGATCATAAATGTAAAGCAAAACTAAGAAACTATTTTATCATAAAATAACACTACTGGAATGTTTATTTCATACCCACAGTATAGCTGGAAAGAAGAATATGAAATAGCACAATGTACATAATGTTATGCTAACTCAATTACCGGAAATAAATCTCTTTTGATGTACTAGTCTATAAACCACATTTTATGTACAAGAACCCAGTCGCGCAACCACACTGAAGTAGGCGCGGGAGCAATTGAAACTGGGACCCATTGGCTGAAATTTGAGTGCCTAAACCAATGAATTTAGGTGGTTCATAGACTTGCATTATGATGATGGCATACATCTTAATCTCCTCCACACAATTAGACATACCAATTCTGTTTGACTGTTCAAATCTCGGTAGGCGAAGAGAAGTTCGACTCAGTCAGTCAGAAATTAATCACTAATATCAAAAGATCACAGTATGTGATGTGTCTGAAACCGAAAACGGGAATCACGAAGGTGATAAGATTATTGTATAATGTTATCTGCCACTTACTGATTGATCCAAGCAATTGAATAACATTCACACCAACCAGTGATGCTTCACAACCGGCTAGATTGAAGTAGTCGCTCGCTTCGGGTCAATCATATCAGTGATGAACCCGGTTTGACTCTGCTCACAAAAGCCGAATCAATTCACACCACCCTAATTATGGCTGGTCAGCTCAGTTGCAAATGAACGTGGCTGGCTGGCTGGATTCAACATAGAACTTGGCACCGAATTGCAGCAGTTCGAGTTGCCACGTTCCAAATAGCACACAAAGGTAGACAAGAAAATGAGAGTGAAGAGAATCAATAGAGTTTTGACAAGTCAAAGAGTGAAACAGAATGAGTAATGATGGAAAGGAATATGAAAGATTACAGAGACTGAATACATCTGCGTAAGCCATTGACAACGATTTTGAGCCATGTCACCTATTGTCTCCAGCCATTGATTCTTAGAGTCCCGAGGGTTCCAACCCGGAAGTCTGCATCTCCCTACCTGACTCAGTTTAACTGTCAGGGATTTCATGGATTGATTGATGCCATGTTTTGTTTGGCCACCACTTACTCTTTTCCAACCTGCACCTATATCAGCTAGTAATGCCCGTCCGTCGTTTTCAGTGCACACAGAGTGAAGAGGAAGTGAAGAGCCAGTAAGTAGAGGAGTTGCATTAGTAGAGGGAAGGCAAGATAATAGAGATGAAGATGAAGACAAAGGTGAGTGAGGATTAGAGAGGTTTCGCGTGCACTTCGGATTGTGAGGGCGATTGTTACTTCCCGGCTGCCCACACCGTGGAAGATGGTTGCGTGACCGCAGAGCCCAGGGGAAAGCTGCTTCAGGCCGGTCACACACGGCCTGTTTTTGTCTGTTGTTTTTCATTTGGTGTGTCTCAGTAGCATATTTATCACTTCTGCCCTGTGACACGGCAGCAGGAAGCGCGGTCGTTGTTAATCCGGGCCCCGACCGATCCGGCATGATAATTTGTGATTTTGTGTGTCATGGCACTGGATTGGGTAACTGCTTCTTGTCTAACCACTATCCAAACAACCTTTCTGGCATGGTAGGACCTCAAGCGACATAAGTCTCAGCCAGTATAGCTTGTTGGGTCATTGCAGTGTTCAAGCCCGACCACCACGTCAAGGTAGCAGCTTTCGGTCGGGGCATGTGGTGTTTAAGTCACTTTCAACAGGCTGGTTGACAAGCACTATTACTTGATGCGACTGGTATCCAACGTCTCGTACCGATCAATCAATCAATACCATTAAGAAATTGTCATACATCTTATAAACTAAATTTTTTTTTCTTAAAAAAATAAAGAAAACTATGATTTTTAGAAGAGAAAAAAACCATTTACCTGAATGGAAATCCATTAGCCAATGAATATACGCTAACCGATGTGAATGAAATCAACTCCAGCAGGATAGACAGTATGCTTAATCCATAAGCATTTTTACTTTTTGCAACTTTTAACACTTGTGGAATTTTCACTTTTATTATTTTGTTTGTTTGTTTGTTTTTAAATTATTAACAGACTACAATTATTCTGGCTGAATATAAACAGAAGACTTACCAAGCGACGAGCCAACAATAATACCATATCCTAATACTTTACTTAAAATTATCTTAAAGCAAAGAACTATTTTTTTTAAAAGTAGATGAAAAGTAGTAGATGAATGGATAGAATTACCATCGAAAAATTCACCATGTTTTGTATATTTGTAGAAGCATTCTTTAGGAATTATTGGACTAATGATATCTTCAAGTAACATATTTGTACGGTATGATTAACAAGTGGTTGACGACTTCGCTGGCAATAATGTGCTGCAGATGAAGGTGATTCGAATGACTAAAATTAAAGCGGGGGAAAATGGTAACGAACGGTATCGAACGTAAGAGATAAATGTCATTTAGGAAAGTTTATTTCAGTAAGAAGTAAACACCTATAACTACTAAATTCTCTTTTTGAATGATGAGAAGCACAACATAGCTAGAAACATTTAATTTTGACAGAAACAACGGACACTGATCACACAAGCATAGCACAGGACTTGTATGCGTGTCTTATCTAAATATGTCTGTCTGTCTATCTATATGTGACATAGAACTTTGCACCGATGTGCGGCAGTTCAAGTCACCACACTCCCTCCTAGTAGCACACAAAGCAAGAGAAGAAATGCATAATAATGACAGTAAACAGAGGTGTGAGACAAAGGAATAGTAATAACGAAGAACAACATAGTTTCACTGGAAATCATGAGTCACAAGGAGTAGATGCATCTGCGCCAGACAGTGAGAACGATTTTGAGCAATATCACCAATTGTTTCCAACCATTGGTTTTTACCGTCCCGAGGACCCCAACCAGGGAGTCTACACCTTCCTACGTGGCTTAAACTAACTGTTGTAGATTTCATTAACTGGTGCCATGTTTTCGTTTGACCGTCGCTAGCTCTTTCCAGCCTGACCCTATGTTAGCTAACATTGCCCGTCGAGGAAGGCGATGACTAGGCATACGTAACACATGTCTTAACCATCTCAGTCGATGTGATTTCACAGCCTTGTTGATTGATTTCCGCTTCCTCCCTACCTAGCACTCGACGTCTAACCTCAATATTGCTCACCTTATTATACCACTTCACACGGGAGATAGAACGCAGGCACCTATGATCAAAGACAGCTAATCTTTTCATGTCTTCCACTCCCAATGGCCAGTTATCAAATATATGTGCCAGTGGTAGTCAAACTACTCCGCAGTGATGCTGTGAATGAGTTAAACACCAGACCAGACATTGAACTCTAAATGATTATGAAATGTTACTTAAATCACCTACTGTGCCTTAAGTTGACAGGCTACATTATATTCTGAGATAAACAGTCCAGTACATTGAGTATTCGTACTATTTCAAAGGCACTATACATATTTCCATGTTCATAGGATACTTTTAATATTAAGCTGTTGGAGTCATGTCATTTTCACTAAAATATTATGACCGTCAACAAAACCTAAAATATACTTTTGTAGTCAGAATTGCAATGTGTTAGGCGTTTTCTATTATAATGAAAATGAATAAAAATAAAACCTTGCGTGATGGACTAGTTCACGGTTATCAGCTAACTAGATATTTTTGTGTTGCTAAGTATTACATCTGCTCAAACAAGAAAAGGAAAAATTCAGGTCACTACACATACTTCTACATCTACATATTATGACTGGAAACTTTTTCAGAGTTACCCGCATAGCATTTAATTTCCGGATATGACTTTGTACTTACAATTCTCCTTACATATGGGAGCGACAGTACACTTTAAATTGACAATGCGTTTACGAGATGTAAATGTAAAAGTGTGCCTATTACTCAGATTTCCTAACACGGTAGTGACTCATTACCTGGATCTATTGGGGGGCAGCTGCTTTGGTAGTTACTGATTAGCAAAAAGTCGAGCTTCGCAGAGACAAGTCACGTCATTATTAAGATATGCGATCAGGCCCTACAAGATGTTTTGCAACTGTTATTTTCTAGTTCATAGAAAGCATGTCTTATTGCTTAAGATCTGATCCCCTGAAATATGATTCATGTCCAAATCTGGAGGACTCAAAAACTTACGCATCATTCAGAGTTTAATATGCACAATTTTGCAACATGACACAAGGACATGAAAAAAACTAATTCCATTTGCACCCTAAACTTTTGCTTTGATTTAATTAATCGACTGAACATCCAAATCCGTGACACACAACACAAATGCAAATATCTACAGATCTTATTGAGTGGACGGGTAACTATGAAATGAAACTGAAGAATAATGCCACTTTGGCTGCACTGAATAGTATTCAGAAAATATACTTACTACCAGACCGCTTTCATGAACAGATACGTTATGTATTACAGACGCTCGAAAGAGCGATATATCGCTAAGTTGAAGAATGGATGTCTTACGCCCCAAGTTGCAGATACTATTATAATAAATAACGCTGAACGAATGCCAAACAATACGCTCACAATGCGGTATTTAGTGGACACATACTCAGTGCTGAAATTACACAGTTAATACGAAAAAGCGTATTGTTTCACCAAAGAATCACTGTACATAGATGCTATTATTGCAGCAATATTGTACACTTCAGTGAAACCGCTTCCAGGGGGACAAATCCCTCAAGATAGATTTAAAGAGTTAGTAAAAATGAGATACTTTAAACTCATTTACGGCAGCATATGGTGAAACTATGTTAACCTCTAATAGGCACCGGTGCCCGCTGCACAACGTACATATATATTGCAGCTGACTGTCTTAAAGTCGTTTTTATGTGATCTGGAGAAACATTATTGTCCTATAACTGAGTTAATTCAAAGGTACGGATTAAATCCAGTTAAATTAGTTGGAAAAACAGACCAGGGAATTTTTAGGAGTGAAAAAGCGTACCAATTGAACAGCCGGGAACTGTGTGTCTTGTTCAATGATAAATGTACATTCGGACACACAGCAAACACACACTTCATATTAACTCATGTAAAATGTAAAATGCCTGCTGAAATATACATATTAAAGTATTGCCAACAGTTTTTTCAACTTCTTTGGTACAATCAAATCTTTATTCATCAACAATACAGTTAGTTTTTGTTTGATTACAGCTTGATGCCACACTGTATTTTCAGTACAAGTATGGAATTTTCAGCATGGATATCGGTAGCCCAAATTTTGCAGGCCGACCATAGATATCGGGTGTGCGTCGGCAGGGGATCGAACCCCAGACCATGTGCATGGTCGGCGAGAGTCCTAACCACTGTGCCACCGACGCAGATTGTCTACTAGTGCCAAAACATATTGAAACCTCCAGTACTATTATATGAAATATTAAACCAGGAATGGTGCTGAAGAGTATGAAGTGTTTTTGTTATTCTATGTTATACCATGTACTGACCTGGAATAATAGTTTAATATTTTCACATTGTGATGTGTTTTGTTGCTACTATCGCTTGGCTTGCGGTTGATCTTTACCAACGAATGCCTTTAATAACCTACTACTATTTCTTGTAACAGAATAATGGTTTGAAAAATCCCTTGTAAACAGTCTAATCACATTATTCTCACTTATTTGGATGTTTCGACTGACTTCGCAATTATTTTCCCCCCTTCTCTTAGACTGCATATCATTTTTATGTCGTTTGCATACGATATCCTGACATCGTCCCTATTATCTTTCTTTTTCCTATTTAGTATTGAATTTCGATGCCTCCCTTTATGGTCGTTTGATATACTGGTAATGTGCGGTTTTCCAAAGTGATTTTGCTTGAGTGAATCAGTGTCACCCTGACCTGGTACTGTTCATGGTAAGTATTGGTTTATGCTTCTTGCGGACAGAGATTTTGGTTCTATCTTGTTGGGAATATTCCATTTGATTCTAAGTCCTTGCTTTGAACATTTATACTTAACTTGTCTGTACAACAGCCCAATATCACTGTTAAGGTGATTTTCAGTTTTTGATGTTTTTGTTGTTGAATAGAACTTAGTATCTTGTTTCCATAATACTTAGTAACCAATGTTGTGCCGATGCATCAGCAGTAGGGAGCCAATGAGAAGTTAATGAGGTGTTGTGATGGCATTTAATACCAACTGCCATGGGTTTTACGTATAATAACATGGGGCAGGGTGAACATAGTGAACTTATTATGATTCTGTCTCATTTATCAATCATTTCAAGCAGTCGTGATGAGAAACAAGTGATACCACGGGTGAAAGCAGATGTATATATTCACCTACAGACGTGTGCAATTATACTAGATGGTAAGCACTGATAATGAAATATATGTATCAGTACAATTCATGACATTCATCACGGCTGCTAGCGGAACCGAGTCAATGATAATGGAATGCTCCCTATCTCAGAAAATTGCATTGAAAAGGGTATTCCTAGAATATGCATGTGGGTTACTCACGAAGTGCAGAGATGTAGACAGATCTAGACAGGCTGAGGTAAGAAGTTTGTTGATTTCACTTTAAATTTTCGTCGATAAATATATATGAGTTACCAATAACAAGATAATTCAGGGTCTTTCTCGTTTTCATTAACTCAGTGGGCTAGTTAGAAGTCACAATAAAGATGATTTCATCATTTCAATAGGTTCAGTAAGATAGGACCATGTTGACAACGAGGCACCAGGTTCATGCACTGAGGATTTATCATAAATGGCAGCAAAAGCAGCAGTAATAGAAAACCAATTGGTTGGACTACTAGAAAAGCATCGAGCTCACTGTTAATCTTAGTTCATGCGACGATCCTCCGTGGTCGAATTTCGACGCAGTCAAAGTATGCTACAGTTAAACATCACATTTCCAAGCGCATCACCAGATTGCAAGCAACTTTGTTAATGGGGAGTGTCTGATTTATTGAAATAAGCATCAATGCTAGAAACTCTCACCTGGTAGATTGCTCAACTATACACTTGCTATTTGGCTTGCACACAATGAGGAAAGAAACTCCGTTTACCCAACGGAATAAAGTTGGTAGAACGACTGGCCACTGTCGAGCATTCTTCTTTCGTAAGTAACATACTGCTCAGATTTATAGCCTACTCTATGTTAAAGGACTTAAATATGCAGTACATCTTGCAAAAAACTCATGAAATCTTGTCCTAATCTATAAAAGACACAAGAATCACTACTGCCAAGTGGGTAACACTTAACACACACAAATTCGTGATTGTATACATTTCGCAGCTTGTTCACGTTGTTTTCATAAAAAAGTCATCATCAGTTCGTTTATTTACTTTA